GCAAAGGACTCAGTTGCAACACAGAGGTGTGGCGTCTGGGCAAAAGTTTTGCAACTTTTCATCTCGCATCTGAGTTAATTAGTGTGGCAGTTGCATTGCTAATTGAGTTAAGGGCAACAGCAGCAGCCGCAGCAGCAGCAGCAGCAACAAGAGCAAGTGCCACATACGTTTTTGAGAAGAAAAACAGCCAAGGATCTTGCACTCCTTGCGCACAGCTGAAAAAGCAATAGAAACCGAAACACAAACACAAGCAACAACAATGCCTTGTGTCTGAGCTGTGAATGTGATAAATGTTTGATGCAGCCACGCTCTCCAGGCGCAGATGTTAAACGAATTAATTCAGTTTTTGGCACGCACACGGAACGATGCCGGCAATTGGGTTAAACGCTTTTGACAACATGACGTATGCACAATATCTTATTAGCACTCACTTTTCGCCAGCTCATGGCCAATTAATGTACAGCCGTAAAAGTGCCGCAATGAGATACGACAGGCGTTGGCAATCGCCGCCAACTGAATTCGTTGCCTCCGCGATGCTCATTAATTATGCACTTGCGCTTCCCAGAAATCTGACATTCAGCATGACAAGGCACAAAATGGCGTATTCGCTCACCTCTTGTGCGTATATGTGTATAAGTGCATATACTTTGATGATATGCAAATGACACTGATTACATATAGACAAGTCTTTCGTTCCAGTTCTCGAAAGCATTATGATGGAATATTGACTTCTATATACATATATAGTATTTTTGTAAAATTATTAGCAGCATTTATTGTTGTTAAGCCTATTTACCGTTAATTACTTTTTAGCCAATGTTCTTTTAAATATTATTATTATTTTATTTACATTATAAGATAAGTTGTTTCCTAAGAATTTAGCAAGAAGTTTTGATCTAGCAAAACGATAGTAAGCTGGTCCTAAACGTAGCCCTTACAACGTCTGTGATCTTAGAGAACATCCCGAAAGTGGTATAAGTCATATATTGACAGTAAAGAAAGCGAATCCGCTATTGGTTAACAGAATGCGAATAATAAAATAATATGAAAATTAAAAATATTGTTAACATAATTAACTTTTCGTACAGTACCTTTAACGATACCTCCCCTATTTCCATAATAACAATAAATATCGATATCGCCTTAAATTAATAACTCACATACAACTGAATGTCATATTTAAGGCCTCAAAAATTACCTAAAAATTGAAATATAAACAGTGAAGTTATTTAAGAAGACTTATGCCACAAATTAAAGCTGTGGGAAGAAGAAGCACAAAAATGCATATGCCACAGAGTACAGCTGTATGAAGAAGGTGCAAGGTACTCCAGCCTAGAAATAAAAATAACCTAGAACATTTTTAAATTGATAAATTTTTAAAGAAAATTAAGATTTTGATATTAGAAAACGTATTGTAAACTCTTGATTTAAGGTTTGGCATGACATTTAATTACAGATTAAAAATAATTATAATGGATATCGAAAAAAATTGATATATTCCTGCTAGAATGCCCAACTAATGTTATTGAGTAGGCTGCTTGACTAACGTCTAAATTAATCAGAATTCATTTCGAGTTCTAATAAGTCACAACTAGAATTAAAATTTGAATCTTAATTGTATAAAGTTGGCTACAAACATAAAACATCCAGAATAAATTGACAAACTAATTTGTCTTTCGTAGAGATTATTTATATTTGGTTAATTTCCTTTAAAATGCAGAACCATGGCAAAGGGGAAGAACACTTTCAGTTTATCCAACGCACAGATCGGAAGAGCCTGCACTCGCAGATTGGGCTGCTCGTAGCCAAGGCACAGCAGACGGCTAACGAGGACCTGCAAGGGCGCAGTTTACGCGTGAAGGCTCTACTCGAAAAGGAGGACAAAGTGTTCGAGCAGGAGTTTGCCAGCAAGGTGAGGAATCGCTTTGATGAGGAGATACGCGAACGCCAGGAACAGCTGCACGAGATCAAGGAGGCGCGCGACAAGCGCCACAAGAAGTTCGTCGATGTAAAGCGAATGCAACAGGTCATGCTTAATTGCTATGAAATACGCGAGGCGATGCGCCAGCAAGATCGAACCAACAACAAACTATGTCTAGAGGAGCAGATGCAGGAGAACATGCGCATGAAGCGGCGTGAATGCGAAAGAGAGCACTATTGGCAGAAGCTGGAGGAGCGGCGCTGGGAGGACTACGATCGAATGCACAATTATGAGATGCGCAAGCGCGTACAGTTGCAGGATCAGATATGCCAGGTGCTGCAGGCACAGCTGGCCGAACATGAAGAGAAACGCCAGAAGGAGCGCGAGGAGAAACGTCTGGACACAATCAAAGTGGACCAATTAATAGAGGATCTCCGCCTGGAAGAATTCGACTCCAAGCACCGGGCAGCGAGCGGCGATAAGGAGAAATATCGCCTCGAACTGCTCGAGGACATTAAACGCCGCAAATGCGCAAAGCTGGCCGCCTGGGAGGCTGACAAAGCCGAACATGAGGAATTCATACGCGAAACGCAACGCCTCGAGGCGGAGGCCAAGGAGCGCATCTGGCAGTCCAAGCGGCAGCTGTCGCGTGCCACACACGAGTACATAGCCTATGTGCGGCGCATGCGCAACCTTGAGCTGGGCATCGAGAAGATGATGAACGATCGCATCGATGATCTATACCATGTGGACCTCTGCTGCAAGAGCAACATTGCCGAGACGACTCGCCTCAAGGGCGAGGAGGCGGCACGCTGCCACACGCAGCTCAAGAAGCAAATCTGTGAGGAAATCGAGCGTAAAATGCGCCAGGAGGCCGAACAGCGCGAGAACAAGATGCTCGAGAATCGTTTTGTCCATCCGCCAGTTACACGGGCCATGATACTCTGCAAACAACGTCAGATGTGCCTGGATTTGAATGCCCAAATCGTCGAGATGAAACGCATTCAGGCCGAGGAGGAGAAGGCCTTCGAGCAAAAGCTAATGAAGGCCGTCGATGATCCACAGATTTGCATCCAGCTAGCTGCACAGTATATGGGCGAGGGCAAGGACTATCTGACCCCGCATCCCAACTGGAAAATACACGCGTGCCCCCAAAACAAATACGTCGCCAAGGCGCCCATGTCCCAGCAGCAGTTCGATGATCTTGTGGCAAACGCTGGCATTGACAAGTGTCCGTTCCCAAAGGCAGCTCGCCGGGATTGTGATTTTATGGCTCAGCCGTGTGAAAAGCCACCACCAGCTAAGAAAATGGATTTCGGTGCTGGGGACAGTGAGCCGCCGACCCAAAAGGATGCATTCAAGAGCTGCAATTGCAATACTTAATCCCATGTTCCATGAACAAATTGTGATCTCGTGCCAATTCAGATACGACAATTTAAAAGATTAGTTTAGTTTTATTCACTTTTTGTCAGTTAGTCAATCCTCAATGAATTAGGCTGCGACAAGTTTAATATTTTAATTGTAAAGCATTTAAAAATGTAAGACTTAATTCAAACATCAAGCAAAAATTTTGATCATATATCATATGCATATCATATGCACAGCTGGTAGAAGGAACTTCGCAAGTCAAGACTAAATGAACTCAGCTTGAAGCTGAAAAAATTTGCCAAATGCTTGGTAATGTAAACTATTTTGTGTTGTTTGTCTTCAATATTAATAAAATTGTTAAACAGTTGGAGAGTCCGTTTAATGCTAGCTTTGGTTCAAATCTTTAATATTTTTATAAATTATACAATATTATATTTATGATTTACTTAAGGAATATATATTTAATGGTCGTTCAGGAACAGAAACAGGCCCAGGGCTTAATAATAACATTTTTCGTAAGTGGTTACAAGTTTGCAGAGTCTGCATTTTTTACAAAAGTTGAGCAGTGTCACACAATTCAATATATTCCAATAAGGATAATTTTCCTTTAGTGGTGGAAAAATATACATTCACATATTTCTAACACCGATACCATTTCATATATATTGATTGGAAGTATTTACTAAAAACAAGAAAGAATGACTATATACCCTTTTACAATGTATAGATTAGTGAAAGGAATAGTGAAGCTCATAACTGCTGAAATTTGTGACTATATCTTGAAAAAACATTTTGCATAAACAAACTCATTTTCTGACCGGATTTCTCTTTAGAGCTTTATGATAAAGAAGTCCGATGTTAATAAGACATGGCGCATATGTGAGGAGGATATCTTTATAAGCAAAAATATTGCCATATAAAAACTATTTTCAACGATCATTACAGCTGCATTGGGGCAACATTAAATCGGACCAATGCTAGTTTCATGGCGATAGCTTTAAGACTGAGACACATGATTGCATAGATTTGGACAGACAGACAGACAGACGGACGGACAAGACTTTATCGACTCGGCTGTTGATACCGGTCAGGAATATATATAGTAAAATGAATGGGGTCGTAAATGTCTCCTATACCTTACACATTTCATAGCAATATTGCCCTCTGCAAGGTTAAATATGTTTGGAAAACTTTCTTGACTTTATAATCTCTTATACGAGCACATTTTCTTAAAATCATTTTATTTTTAAACGGCTTTTGGGTTGCCTAAAAGGTTGCTCTGTTGCCTTATGCTCCATTTGTGTGTATTTTGTTGAAAAGCGTCGGGTTTCTTAACTTAATTAATATTGAATTTTGTTGTATTAGGCTTACGTGCTTTGTGTAGCTTATGTATCAAGTGGCCGGCGTGGGGGTGGTGGGCGTGGTTGTTAGGCCAAATTATAATACCCACACTCCAACAGCTTAACTTCAATAAACTTTAATCTACACCCAAAAGTTCTAACACTCAATATGAGATTTAATGCTGGAATCGAAAGGCCGTCCCAACTAAATTTGATCCAACGTGCAACAACAATGCAATTTTGTTTTCAGCTCGAAATCGAAAAGTTGCCACCAAGAGTGTCACAGCTGTCGAGTTATCCACCCAACCACACGCTCTATCTCCATCTCGTTCTTTCAACTTAATATCTGTGTATCGTTTCTCTACTTGCAGACGAGAATTGGGGCCTACCGCTAGCCATTGCGACCAACTTGCATATACCTTATCGCATTGAAATCGGCGACACAATACGTGACATGCATGAGCAGGAAAAGCCGGGCAAAGGTATGTACATACATATATATATTGCGTAGGTGCTGGCAATGCCAATTGGCCAGTCGAACAGATCAAAAGCAAAAAATCAGCACTTACACTTGCATGCATGTTGCCAACTAACCACACATCTCTTCCCCTCTCTCTCTCTCGAGCTTAGCAATTATTATTACGGCGCCTCTGAACGATGAGAGCACGCTGCGTTGGCTTGGGACTGGCAAGTGGGCAGAGCAGGACCAGCACACAAAAGTATTGCTCATCGATATTGTGGCCAGCTCATTGAATGTCGAGCACCGACTCTACAAATATTTGGCACGCATCAATGCGGCCACTGGCAATGGTAATGGTAATGGCAACAGCAATGGCAACAGCAATGGCAACAGCAATGGCAATGGCAATGGCAATGGGAGCAGCATACCGCAGTTGCCCGTGTCCGGGCTGGTGACCAGCAATCTGTTGGTGCTGACGCTGCTAAGCGATAAGCATCGACACTTTCTGAATGCGGCCGGGATTGGCATGGCCATGGTGCACAATTTTCGTACACCAGCGTCTGGCCATGCGGTGAATGGAGTGGATAACCCAATGGAGGCATTGGCTCATCAAAATGCCAGCCTCAACAAGCTGCGACCCTTTATGAATCTGTTCTCGCTTTACGATCTGTTGCTGTCGCACATTGTGGCGGGCAGTGCAACGGCGACAATACCGAAATACGATTTTTTAGTTCTCGACATTGTTGTGGATGCTGCGCTTGCCACATACAAATGGCGGCCGTTGCTCATACTGGAGGGCGGCAAGGGTGCAGGTCACGGCAGTTATATAACGCACTCCATTCAACCCGGATACGATGAATGGCTGTTGGTCAGCAGCGTTCAAATGTGGCATTGTGGCGCCATCTGTTGGACAATCGCAGCAATATGCATGGGCTTACTGGTCATCATTGTGGTTGCCAGCGTGGCTGCCGGCGTAGCCGTGAGGTAAGTGACTCTCGCATCCACACAACTGATACTAAAGCAAACAAAAAAGATCGCCTGTCGTCGACACGCCGAAAATTAAATACCCTTATAGACATACACATCACTTAGAGCTTGTAGATATGCGAGGCGAAGCTCGTAGTTGATGAGTTTGGTAAAGATATCTAGAACAAAAATTGGGTTTTGAGCGATTCTTCCTATAGAACTACATGATATAATAGTCTGATTATGATAAGCGTTTGTTCATATGCAAGAAGCATGATACAAATCGTAAGAAAAGTGGTTAATACAAGAACTTTATTTTGACTGTTTGCTAAGTTTGGCGAAGATATGTATCTCAAACAACAGATCATGTTCCCATACAAAAACATATTTTCGGCGTATTCTTCCCATAGAGCTTTTATGATTTAGTAGTCCGACATTGATAAGAGTTTAATCACATGATTTCCACTAATTTCTTGCTTGTTTTAATGAAAACCAGAAAATAATATTTGATTAAGAATCGATCATTTAAACTAAAGTAGACAGTCGTTAATAACTATCGATAATATTTCATGCTAATTTTGAGAAATGGACCTTTAGGCATTTAAAATAGTTTAATGATAGATGTCGATGTTAAACCCATGCAAAGGGTATTAAAACTTTCTCTTGAAATCAAGGAGTCATCTCCGACCTCATAAAGAGTATATATTCTTGATCAGTATCAACAGCCGAGTTTATGTGGCCATGTCTGTCTATCTGTTTCTATGCGAACAAGTCTCTCAGTTTTAAAGCTATCGTCTTGAAACGTTGCATACGTCCCTCTTTCTGTTGCTCGCAGTATATATGTCGGCTTGAACCGGCTTGATCGGACCACTATATCATATAGCTGCCATAGGAACTATCGGTCGAAACTTAGGTTGTTGTATGGATAACTTTTTATTTATGAAGATATCTTACTAAAACTTGGCATTTATAAATTTAACTCTGCCCCCTAAATGTATATAAAAATCTTATCAACATTGGACCACTACATAATATAGCTGCTATCGGTGGAATAGTAGGATCTTATATAGAAAAATATTCTGTTTTCAAAGATATTTCAACAAACTCAGCAATTTCGAGCTGCACTATTCTCAGATATTTGCAAAAGAGAAATGTCGGTGCGAAGATATCCTTACTTTCCCGTTTCTGGTATCCCATCACCCCATATACTTATTCAAAGATTAGGGGAAAAACCAAGCAGATATTTATAAATATTTATAAAAAAATGTATTCCAATATATTATACAATCAATACTGCTTACCACTAAGGTAACTAACAACTTTTCTTGTTGGTTAGTAATAAATGCGATTCGATTTCATCTATAGTTGAGCTTAATAGGTTGAAATTCCTTTAATATGTATAATATTTTGTAAATATTTGCTTATTTTAGATCATTATCCGGCAGGTTACATTTGCCAAAACCACAAAAGATAGGCATAGTCAATTAGCGCGCCTTAAAGGCAGTTTCGCCCTTTTAAAGCTTCGCCCACGTAATTCAGCGCAATTGACTTGGGCGTAAAATATTTTGCGCGTAGCAATTTCCATTTTAATTTTCATCATTAGGATTTTTCTCGGTTTCTCCCCCCTTTTCGGCTGTTAGTTGCCTGATGAAACTTTCGGGGATGTAAATTGTAGAGAAAAAATGTCTGTTTTGTTTATGTACAAGACATAATTAAATAGCTTTTAATTGTATTAAGTGAGGCATGCAAATGAATAAATTAAATTTGAATTTGCTTTACATTTTTATTGGCATTCTCAATTAAGGCTTATAGCTTGGAATAAACAACTCAACTGATTTGAAACTAATAACATAGTCCTCAATTTATCACTTCAATAAACGAATTTCTTATCACAAGGAAGCACTCAATGGCATTCTTGAAATCCTTCAAACTGCGTGCTTCAATTATCCCAAATCGCATAGCATTAAATGCAAATTACAAACTGGTTAGCCAAAAATCATTTAAGCAAAATCAATACACACGCCACAGATGAATTTCACACACACACACACACACACACGCACACCTGGTCGTCCATTAAAACGAACATTTAATTAATTACATTCATCAAAGCGTAGCATAAGCTACGCACCGCACATTTAAATTGTCGTCTGGCAGTTGACATTTATACACCGCAAACACTCACACACACACACACACGCACACACACTCGGACCGTCAAAGAAAAACACAGATACACACGCACACAATCGCAGGAAACAAACATGTCAAGTGCGGTTAAACAAATCATTTACTCTTTGACATGTGAGCAACACTTCCCACGAGAGCCTCAATTATTGCAGCTGCAATTATATTTTAAAGTCGAGGTCTTTAAATTGGCCACATGTCCGACTTAAAGCCACAGTCATCAGAAACTATTTTCGCCGACGCTCAAAATGCAACTCATGAAGTTTTAATTAGCGTACGCCGGACAAAACGGAAAAACACGACCGGACACCAAAACTGAAAAAGGGCAAGACAAACAGAAACATGCAAAACAAGCAGTGCCCAAGGCGAATACCCTTTCATTCCGATGGAGCCGAGTTACTTAATAAGATCGATCAGTTAGCACTTTTTAAGCAATTATTAATGGTAATACATTAGTTGTATTTCTTATATAATTTTTGTTAATATTATTTCTAATTATTACTAAAAAATTATTATTATATTAACATGTTTATTATTTATTAAAATTACTTTTCAACTGTGGATACCGGATCTGAAGCCTCGCTGTCAAGGACCTTTTGCGAAAAGCTGAATCAGAAAAAAGTCTAACCAAACAACTTCCTTCGAAAATATATGTTTTAAGCATTTCAATGTGCCCAAAAAAGATAGGGTACATAAATGATGCTCACGCGCAGGTGTTTTTATGCTGAACGATCCCGTTGATTATCAGCTCGGTTAACGGACAGGTAAAACTTTTCTGTGGCTAAGCCGTAAGCTGTGCCGTAAATAGAAAAACTTTAATGGCTTTGGGGCTGGCTACTTAACAGCCGTTACACGTGGGCCCAAAGAGTTTCGACTAGGTCTAGATAAAGCCCATTAATGCGCATAATACACTTAACCTTACTCAACTTGGCCACGTGGCAAACTTCTGGCCCAACAATTGTTGCATGAATTTGCTCTTTTCCATCGCTGGCGTGCGGTTTTCCGGCTAATGCCAGCGAGTCTTGTATTACCAACTAGCTGAAAGTATGTACGCAACTGGGAAAATAAAGTTTTTTAGATTCAACCACAAGAGCCAACGACTGACTAGGCTAATAGATGTTGATTGCAGGGTGAGGGTAAATTTGAAAAAGACATGTAAGCATACTTTAGTCGTCTGTGCTCGACTGCAAAGTACCCTGTACCCCTTATTTTATATAATATTTTGCTAATTACAATGGGTACAGGGCATAAAAACAAGCCCGACAAGGAGATTCCCCTTACCCAAAAGGGTCACATAACTATTATTTTTTTTGGAAAATAATCCACACATTCCCCCAATTTTGACATTTATATACACACAACGCTAAAAAAAAAACTGGTTTTAAAATTGATATTTGGCGATATTATGGATATAGAAAAGATATCAGGAATGAAGGTCAGCTCCTTCTATAAATATTCTAGGAATGTCTTTAAAGAATATTTATTTTAAAATTTAAGACTCTGTCTTTTGTAATTTCCAAGAGCGACGCATACTCTTTCCTCAGCTTGTCGTAAGGATCAGGAATATATTTATGTTACAATAATTTGCACAAAATCATAAAACCATCTTTTACCCACTTTCATGGTTAAAAAAAAGCTGGTGCAGAACTAAAAATGAATCTGCGTGATTTCAAGCTACAGTTAATTAAGCTAACTATAAAGTTGCTTTCGGTATTTGTTTCTGTTGCGTAAAATTGCTGCAAGTCCAGTTTTTGTCAAGCATGCAACAAATAACCTACAAAGGACCCCAACTAAGCTTAAATAACAACGGGCACAAATCAGGGCATAATTCAGTTAAATGCTGCTCACAGCAAGCTAACTTGTTTGGCTAATCGACTTTCGAATGCTTACATTAAGCATAAAATGGGAATTTTAAGCCAGCCCGGCAGATTGTACTAAAATGTTGGCATAATTATGAAAAACGTGGCCACAGAATGTAGCATATATTGAATGGCGCCAATGTAAATGGCAATTAATTGATTTAAGTGTTTATACCCTGTATTCATTACAAATTAGAAATAATTGAGGTATGCTGCTTTGAGCATGTTTATGTTACAGGCAAAAGGAGCCGGTCTAACGGTCTGCCTCTTCGTCAAACTTCTATTCGTCTTGCCATATAAATAAAAGCCTCGATCTGACAGAATATAAGAAAAACCGAGTCTTACATATTGAAACTTAATTACGCGCAGCTTAGATTTTAAGTCGTCATCAGTAAAAATCGATTTTGATATTAGTTTTTTTCAGCATATCTCTGAGTTTCCCTAGTACCACCAAATTTAAGAAAAACACAATTTAGCCTTTTTCAAGCTACGATAATTTCATAAAGACACCTGACACTCAATTTATCCCAGAATGATTTTTCCATAGTAGTATGTATCGAAGATAGTTTGGAACGACAGCTTGGTGCAGAGTGCTGGGTATCTGCTAGTCAGGCACACGCTACTCTTTTTTGTAAAGAAATTGTAATCAATTCAAAAGCCATTGACTCTAAATCAGTAGCAAAGCTCATTTATTTTTCTGCAATTTGTACTTTTCCAGCAACTGGAACTTTATCCACAAGTCTCCAACTAACGAACAATCTCTTAATGAAGCTTAAAGCTCAAACAATTATGCTAATGTGGCTATGTATTTTAAAAATCAACTGTTTAAATAATAAATAAAGCAATTACTCAGTTGCTAATTGTTTGATTGCCATTTCCATTACACTTTACAGCGAACGTAAATACTAGTCAATTTGTGTTTACAATTAAATCAAGAATCAGAGATATGCTCATTTTAAATCTAAAACGAAATTCGAATGTAAGCGCTAATTTGTTCCTGATTTTGTAGCAAGAACAACACACCCAACAAAAGAGGTGTCGAAATATAATACATTTTGATGGGATAATGAGAAAATGGCGCAGAATGGCAGAATGGGACCCAAAGAAATCAATTTTGGACGAGTGTCTTTGATATAAAATGTATAAAATAGATAGTAGAACTAAAAATATACAAGATACATAAATCAAGTACTTTTTGTACTTTTTGTTATAAGAAAGTTTTAATCCGCTCTAATTAAAGGCTGTCGATTGGTTTAATTCGAATCATAAACTTTACATGAAATTGTTCAATTTAATCTAAAGTATATTAACTTATTACAAGAACAAATCAGAAAAATATTTAACTTCACTGTGGGCTTAAAAATGTTTTATTTTTTTTTGTTTTAAGGAGTTTTAGAAAGATTGTGTTCCTTATCCCTAACACCAAACAGAATTCTCTGCAGGGTATCGATCAGTAATCAGCTTCCTTTGTTATTTATAGGCCGTATCAGAACACACACGTATAATAGAACCAAAAATTTATTTTACAGAAATTCGTTGATTCGTTCAAGCATTACGGAGTATTCTGCTCAGAGTCTTCGCTTCCTGTTATAAATTCTGATCTTTTATCATTATTTTACTATTATCATCAACTACATTCCCTCGATAGTGTCCCAGAATCTGGAATACTAGTGTCGTCCGATAATGTAAAGTTGCGTCTTAAATATAATCTGTAATCTATCAAAAGCCGACATTGATGCCTTTCATTCTTTGTTTCAAGTAAACCTTGTTAATTTTGAAATGGTTTCTTACATACTTGACAGCTTGCTGATTGAACTTAAATATCTGGTGTCATTCTTGATCGTAAACTACAAGCGATGGTCGAATGCGATTGAGGACCCTTTTTATATCTCTTGCACGACCTACACTTCAGTATACCTCGTGCGTCTGGTTAGCACAATATTCTATTTATCAAAAGAGAATTAAATCTGTATAAAAAACTATTCTTGTTATATGACCTTCATGGATTAAACCGGAATCCTAGTGTGCGGCTGCCTTCATACTCTAGTTGACTCCTGATGATTAATATGCCCTCTTTAATTTATGTAAAGTTATGCTCGGTGTTATATTTATTCATAAGTTAATTACGGGCGAAATCGACTCCTCTGGGTTGACTAGCCAATTAAACATGTTTGTCCCTACTAGAATAACATGTAATTATCCCTTATCCTACATCTCTTAACTTTTGTCCAACTAGCTGTGCATTGCATGTTTTCGCCATTATTAATAATTAATCGCTTCATCATTTTCGACCAATATCCAGAAACTACTTTTTACGCAAAAGACTGTCGAAGGGACCCAACAAAATTGTGCTCTCGGCCAGTGACTTTGTATTTCCCGTGGACTCCCGTCGCGTAAGTCAACGCTTTCACCTGAATATACTACCCAGAAATGAAATAAGCTTTCACAGGTGGACGAGGGCATCGAGGCGATGCTCTGCTGCTGGCTACAACAGCTACAGGAATTCGGAGGTCCCGAGGTGGACAAGCCGGATCTGCTCAAGGGCTCCATTGGCTCGCTAAAAAATTTGGGTTTTGTCATACCCGGCGCAACAGGAGCTGGCAACAACGGTGCCATAACTGGAACTGGAGGAGCCGCCACAACGGCGACTGTCAATGGCAAGAGTGGCTCCACGGCCACGGGCAGCCTGGCGCGTCATAAGCCGGCACATCTGGACATGCGGGCCCGCTACAATGGCGATCTGGTGCAGCTCAAGGAGATAAACTTGAATGGATCCACAGAGCTGCGCTCCAAGGCCATGGATCTGCTGGTGATGGCGCACGGACTGCGCCACGAGAATATAAATCCACTAATTGGCTGGCTATCGGATCCGAATCGCACAGCCATGGTTTTCGACTATTGCTCGCGCGGCTCACTGCAGGATGTGCTTATTATGGATGAGATTAAGCTGGACTGGTCCTTCCGTCTTAGTCTGCTTACCGATCTGGTACGCGGCATGCGCTACCTGCACGCCTCTCCCATTCGCATCCATGGTGCATTGACGTCCAGAAACTGTGTCGTCGACGCCAGATGGGTGCTCAAGGTAACCGACTATGGTCTGAATTCCTTTTACGAGTCGCAGGGCTTGTCGCCCTTGCCACGCAGCACTAAGGAATTACTGTGGACGGCGCCCGAGTTGCTGCGCACCATGAAAACGCAGCAACAGCAGCATCATCATCATCATAATCTACACGGACGTGTGCAGATGGGCACACAGCTGGGCGACGTCTACTCCTTCGGCATCATTATGCAGGAGGTGGTTGTCCGTGGTGAACCCTACTGCATGCTCTCACTCTCGCCGGACGAGATTATAGCCAAAATCAAAAAGCCACCGCCACTGATAAGGCCCTCAGTGTCCAAAGGAGCTGCCCCGCCAGAGGCCATCAACATAATGCGACAGTGTTGGGCCGAACAGCCCGAAATGCGACCTGATTTCAATTCGTAAGTATTAACAAGGAGGTCAATCTCATGAGATGTGGGAAATGCCATGAGGGGCATATAAACGACCTGGGTCAACTCTTCTTAATACCAGCTCTTTGCACTTGGATGCCAGCTATTATGTAAACTGTGACCTAGCCCGAAGAGTTATTATTATGTTGAATTTTTATGTATATGGGATACGGGTAACTACTGCCAAAAAAAAACGTCACAAGGATTCGAATTCCCTTTTACATATAATATATAAAAAAATATCAAAAAAATACACATTTCGACTTCAGCTGTGCCTCTTCTTCCCTCTGCCCCACACTATGGGAAACTAATTCTTGAAAAACTTCCAAGTTTATATTCCCATCTTTATAAAATGTTCGACCCTTAATTATGAAACATAAATGTTTACACAAATCAAAGCAAAAAAACATATCTTCTTAAATGATGTTTTAAATATTAGTTGTGGGAAGTTAACAAAAAAGTTATCAAATTTTTGGTACTACTAAGCTCATATGAGTTTGAGATTAGATTAGTATAAAATCTCATATTATTCACAGCGTTTACGAGCGCTTTAAGATGCTCAATCACGGACGTAAAGTCAACTTTGTGGACACAATGTTCCAAATGCTTGAGAAGTATTCGAACAATCTGGAGGAGCTAATACGCGAGCGCACCGAGCAACTGGACATTGAAAGAAAGAAGACTGAGCAGCTGCTAATTCGCATGTTACCAAGGTAAAGTACATAATAATAGTTGAATGTGTACTGTAAATTAACTTAATATTAATTCACAGCTCTGTTGCCGAGAAACTTAAGATGGGCCTGGCCGTCGATCCTGAGGAATTCTCTGATGTCACCATATACTTTAGCGACATTGTTGGTTTTACAACAATCGCAGCCCACTGCAGTCCCGTGCAGGTGGTGGATCTGCTCAACGACCTCTACACAATATTCGACGCAACAATCAATGCTTACAATGTCTACAAGGTAAGTGTTATATCGTATTATATAACCATCTTGAGATTGGAATGTCGCGCCTTCAGGTGGAGACCATCGGAGATGCTTATATGGTGGTCAGCGGGCTACCGGTGAAGATACCCGATCATGCCGAGCAGATAGCCACCATGGCGCTCGATCTGCTGCATCAAAGCGGACGCTTCAATGTCAAGCATCTGCCGGGCGTGCCGCTTCAGCTACGGATTGGTCTGCACACGGGTCCCTGCTGTGCCGGCGTTGTGGGTCTAACGATGCCGCGCTATTGCCTGTTTGGTGATACGGTCAATACGGCCTCCCGAATGGAATCTACGGGTAACATTTCACTTGTCTTTGCATAAATATACACGCATCACATATTACTCCAACTTGCGCTGCACAGGTTCCTCCTGGCGCATTCACATGTCGCAAGAGACTCGCGATCGCTTGGAGGCCCGTGGTGGATATTCCATAGAACCTCGCGGGCTCATCGATATCAAGGGCAAAGGCATGATGAACACGTTTTGGCTGCTGGGCAGAAAGGGATTCGACAAGCCGCTACCTGTGCCACCTCCCATTGGGTAAGTCAATCATCAAATTATAAATAAACCCATTAACTGTCAAAAGATCAGAAAAAATACACTTGGAAAAATTAGTTAACGTTATGCGATTATCAGAAAATATCATTTTATTTGGGAACAACAAAGAGTAGCTCAGATTATGCATAATTTTGCTATCGAGAATTTTCATAAAGAACTTTTTAACTTGTTTGACTATATCTTAGAGTATATCAGTTAAATGGCAATAGGTTTTTTTAAATTGATTAATTTTAAAAATAAAAGCCCTTTTCTTAAAATATTCATTGTGTCATTTAAAACACGCTGCACCTCAGGGAGTCGCATGGGTAGGTGAACAAAATTAATTACTGTGCTCGTTTTATACAAAACTAATACCAAATATTTGGCCACAGACTGGACGAATCCCTAATACGCAACTCGATCACACTGAAGGCGCAGGCGAACAAATCGCGCAACAGCACAAATCCCTCGTCCTCGCAGAGCTCTTCGCTGGCTGGTGAGTCGGTGGAGGTCAAGGTGGAGATAACACCACCCGCTAACACGGACATGTGCTCAAGCCATCTGCCCAATTCGTATTCGCTGGACTCGAATTCCACCAACACGATTAGCCCAAATCCGACGCTGTGCCCCGAGTTTCCCAGCAAAACGCCAAGCAGCACAAGTCCACAGTCGCGGAAGCTGTCTGAACTAACGCCGGATAGTCTGCTGAATCCGAACAGCTTTAATCGCTTGCCCAGCTCTACGGGCGGGTCTAGCTCCCGGCTGTATAAGAAGATTGAGGAAATGATGGATCTCAGCTCACCGTATAATCACTATAAATGCCTCAGTCCCAGCGAGAGCAACCTATCCCAGTTCTATGATGGCAAATATCTGTACGGAAATGCGGGCGGTGGCAGCGTCGCTGGAGCCACTGGACCTGGCAGTGGGGGCTGCTCCATTAGTGGCAGCTCCTCGAAGTTTGACAGCAAGCCCGGTTCGAGTCGCCTGCTGCGCCGTCAGTTCAGCCTGGACCGTGACGACCAGCAGGCCAAGGTGGAGCACCAGCACCAGCTCTCGCTGCAGGCGAACAACTATGCAGCCCTGATGTTTGCCAGCAAGAACTCCATGCTGGAGATACCGATGCTGCACGACACATCGCGCAGTCCGAAGGGCACATTGACACGGGCGCACAGGCAGAACTCTACCTCCATTGCGCAGGATCTGGAGAAGATTGAGGAAATACCGTTATCGCCGGCCTCCTCGCAACACCACAGCAGTCTCGATAGCAACCTAAATCGCAGTCCACCCTCCACCCAGGAAGCGCAATCGCCGCCGATGCTACCCCCGCCCGCTCCGGCCACCCAGCTGAGTCCACCTTTGCTCTCGGCACCCACCTCGCCGGCACCGTCGCGCACTCTGAATGGCCTGGATGCGCACAGCCGAAGCAGCAAGAACAATAACAACAACAGCAGCAGCAGCAGCGGCAGCCCCAATGCGCCAGAGGAAACCGCCAGGCCCGGCCCCGAGATAGTCCTCAGCGTGGAGCAGCTGCTGAGCAGATAGGACACAGTTTAGGCCTCTGCGCCAAGTAACTTATAAAGCTTTAGGTCCGAGGCCATCTTAATGTGAGTGTCCGAGAATTTGAGTGTTGTGATGTGCAAAGTAAAGTACCTCGATGCAGGCAAACTTGGTTCCAGCTGCAAAATAAAAGTACAATTTAGTTCAAGATTAGAAATGTCCCGCGATCGATATATTTGATACGGATATTCAAACTGGCTTGGATCGACATTAGACATTGTAGCCAATTAAATTTCCTAACTAGCTTTATTTTCTTATGATTCGCCCCATGGAAAACTGACGAAAGAGAGTAGAAAGTAGCCTTATATTTGATTTAATCTAAATTGATAATACGAAATAACAATTCGCATGATTCGTATTTAGTATAAATGTTAGAATACCGTAGAGACAATTGTCATAAAAAAATATTTAAATTCTATTTGTATCTGGTTAGTAAGTATAAAGATTCGGTTCGGTAACCATCTTAAGTATTAATCAATTTTGTGTGTAAGTCTAATCAAAAGTATAATTAACTACTTATATGGTATAATCAACTACATGCAATTTCTGAACTGAACAAAAACTATATCTGATCAAAATGTCGGGCTGATTCTTTCACTCACTCGAATGTGTTTTCAATTCTACACGAAGTTCCTTTCGAAGTATTGAAAATATACCTACATATATATACATACATATATACCAGTATGTAAATAAAGTTGAGATACTGTTAAAATATTAAAGAACGTATTTGGCGACAAGCATAATATCAAATAAGAATTAAATACGTGAATTTAGTTTTCTAAAGACAATCGTTGTTTATTTTATAAAACAAAACAAAGGCAAGAAGAAAAAACGTCTATCTACGGCACGCCGCAGATTTAATACCCTTGTAGACATATGGCTTTGAAGTGCTTTTATACAAAAGCTTTATTTTTGATCAATTGTTCCTATGGGAGCCATATGATATACTAATCCGGTTTGATAAAGTTTTTACATGAATGTTAAATGGAAAGTGAAGCTCGTAATTTTAAGGTTTCGTCAAGAAATCGTTTGTTATATACAAAAACTCATCCCACGACCGATTATTAACATGGTACACTGATGTTGATAAGACATAGCTCATATAAAAACTAGTAAATGCCAAGTTTGGGGACAAGTTATCTTGAAATATATTTTCTATGACAGCTGAATAATACAATAGCTGGCAGAGTTCGACACACAAACAGAACAAGTCTTAAAACTAAGAGACTTGTTTGCATAAAAGCAGACGGACAGAAATTGGTAAATTGGGCTTGAAAAGAGGACTCCTTCTATATGTTAGACATTATGTGACAAAATAATAATACCCGCTACAAGGGTATAACAAGAAAAGTACATTAGATTGTGGCGAAGGTAAAATATATGTGTTTAATGATCCGCAAGAGTTGATCTTATTGTCTATTTGTAGCGGCTCTTTGGTAGTCTAGTCGGATTGTAAACTACTCAACCTCTGTGTCAAGTATAAATATAAATATAAATATTTCATAAAAACAGCTAGAAAATCAAAAATATCAGTTAATAAATGTAAGTCTAGCTAAATTAACTGGAATATAATTCAAATTTAAATCAATTTCACTAATGCAAAACTTTTATAACCTACATAGGCTTAGCTCTAAGACCAAACAAAAAAAATGTTTAATTAGTGCAAATATTTTATTGTTTAATTTCTGTTTATTAAAAAATAAAATTCTGTTCATTTAATTGTATCTTAATTACCGGCTCAAACTACGACAGAACCCAATGTCAATTATGTCAAAGCTAAAAAAACGCATGTTATTTACCAGCTTTTATTTTATTTGTTTTGTTGTTTTTCTTAATTTACATCGAACGCGTTTATTTTGTGTTAATTAAGCTGACACTTTTGCTGTTACCTTTAAAGTTGGCATGAATATTAATAAACGGTTATATTACAAATAAAAATATATATAAATAAATTGAACGGTATTGTTAAATACTATTAATGGGAAATTTGATACCGATAATATTAAAAATTTTTATTTGGTATTCAGAAAAGCCTTCATACGCCACTTTTAATCACTGGCCCTTAAACAAGCATGTTCATAATTCAACTTTCAAACCAATTCCACACGATTGTGTATGACATGTTTATTAAAACGGAATATAATAAATATGCTCCAGTTTATTCCAGCTGGATATCTGACTATATTACAGGCATTACCAGCATTGAGTCTATATTATGTTTTAAATGATTCTCCAAGCAGATTGATGGCAATCCCCTATTGAGAGAGAGGTAGAGAGAAAGGGAGTTATTAGATCAAATAAATTGATTGTGTTAAAAGATGTCGCAAATTCTCAAAAATTTATTCGCCTATCACTTACGTAAAACAGACCTAATAGCTGCTTGGCTGCCGAAATAAATATATTCGCCTTACTCTCAGGTGTGCAATTTCTGCGATTCCTTTGTGGATATCAGTCACCTCCTCTTGTAACAGAATGCAGGGATCCGGAAGTCTAAACAAGACCCTAATACTGGATTCTATGCCGTACATTCCTTCTTCCTAGTCATCCAGGCGGATGATGATGGCTCAGGGAAGGGCAAAAGAGTATGAGAGGGATTGCGAGATGCTCTTGAGAAGTGAGGGAATTGTCCTTAAGTTGCTGTCGCCAGAAATAGGTGTGCTTTGTTTTCTCATGAAGGGTACTTTTAAAACAAACAAAAATCGGTGTCTGTAAACATACAAACTTCCAGCTAAAAATGATCTTAAGTCCGGGCTCGTTTAGTGAAAAACAGTTGAAGGCCACAGTATATTTAAGACCCTGAATTTTGTCTCTCCATAGGAAACCCTTCTTGTCCAGGTGCAACAAGACTAACAATGTATTGACTGGGTTGTCCGACTGCGATTTCCAGCGAAGCTATGACTTGTTATTCTAATCATCAAATTTACAATTTTGTATATAAGCCGCTAAAGTAAGTTATTCATTTGACAATGCTGAAAGCGCCATCAAATAAATTACAATTGTATGTTTTGCTTAAGTTGTAGGTTTTTATTAATGGAAGTGTTTTTTATTTGTTTGCATTTTTTGAGTTTTTGTGTATTGGTGCATATGTGTGTGTAGCCAGCTCAAGGAACGGTATGCTCTTCCATATAATATCTAAATAAATGCTATTCCTCCTCCTCTTTTTCTTTACGATGTGATTTCTTCTTCTCGCTTCGACTGGACGAGTTGGATGTTGACGAGATGCTTTGCTTGCTGCTGCGCTCGCTGCGATCCTTTTCGCGCGACTTGGATTTCCGGCGACTGGACTTGTCACGCGATCGCGAGCGTCCCTCGCGCCTTGAGCTTTCCTTCTCCTTATCCTTATCTTTATCCTTGTCCTTTTCTTTGTCCTTCTCTTTCTCCTTGTCTTTGTCCTTATCGCGAGAGCGCTCCTTGTCGCGATTGCCTCGTTCCCTATCGCGCTCCTTATGCTCACGCTCCTTACGCTTCTCCTCCTTTAGTATGTGCAAATAATCCTCAAAGTACTCCTCGCGATAGGCCGAATCCAGAGCCCGATAACGCGGATCCGTTTCGAATTTTTTCTTAATGTCATACCAGCGAGTATGGCGCTCAATATCGTGCCGCTCTCGCAGCATGTCCAGAAAGTCTTTACGTAGCTAGAAAAAACAAAGCAACAGTATAATTTAGTAATTGAGATGCTTACAAATGCTTAAACGCTTTTGTTTAGATGCGACCTATAAAAGCTATAGATTATATCAATATAAATCAAGCGACTAAGATTTATGTACTGTAATCTTAAAACAAACTGGTAGAAGGGTAGTTTAATCAATAGATTCAAATTTGATAGACTAGGCTGCATGATATGACAGTTGTCTTGATACAGAATAAAAAGACGGTGTTGTTGTCATTTTTTGTCAACTTCTTCCCAGTTTCGGAAATACGAAAGGCCCTATTAATTCTAAACAAGGGCTACGTCAAGTTAAGCAAGCTGCTGCATTGGTTTTCGTAGCTTACTGGAATTCATAGGGTTTAATAAAATATACCTGCTCTTTTTTCAGTTGCTTGTCCTTCTCTCGCCGCCGCCGCTCGCGATCCTCGTCGTAACTTTCTGATCTGCGTTCTGAGGAAGATGCGGCTGGCACGTTGCTGTTGCTGCTATTACCGCTACTGCTACCCATGGGCATCCTCTGCTGTGGGCCCATGCCTGCATGATAAATGCGAAAAATACATGAATAAACAGTTTGGAAGCAAGACTAACAAGGTTCTTACTTATGTTATGCGGCATACGCATCATGCCTGGCGGCGGACCCATGCCTGTATGGATGAAATTTTAAAATATAAATAAGTATTTGAAATTTGTGATTGAGTTATTGCAGCACTCACCCATGTTGTGCGGCATGCGCATGTTGGGCGGCATCATGCCGGGCGGCGCATGCTGTCCCCGCAGCTGTGGTGGCGGTCCGCCCATTTGTGGTGGTGGTACATTCATTTGCGGCATTCCCGGGGGTCCGCCCATTTGGGGCGGCGGCTGCTGTTGCTGCTGGGGCGGGTGGTGTGCGGGGCCAGGTGTTAGCTCCTTAATGCCAGTGGGCACCCAGCCGGCGTTATCATTGCCCCACTGTGACTCCTGGGTAGGCTCGTAGCCATAGTCGAACGGTTCTGGTTCATGGAAGAACGGCTCATCGGCAGCACCCGGTGGAGGGAAATTGGGTGCCATAGGTCCCAGGCCACCGCGCGAATACTCACGACACTCTGCTGTCATCACCTGTATGGCATTCTCCTTGACGCCCCCAGTCGTAGAAATGGGACGTGGCGGTCGCGCCATCATGCCCATGCCAGGGCGCGGCTGATGCTGCATCATGGGCGGCATCCCTGGCGGCGGCATTTGCATGGGTCCATCGCCCAAGACAACCAACGGCTGGTGATGATGCATGGGACCGCCCATGCCCATGGGCCCGCTTAAATTGCCACCGTTGCCGCCATCGGGCATGCCCATCGACGTGGCACTCTGATTCACATTTTGAGTTAGACTGGCCAGGCCTACACCGCTCTCAGCCACGCGGAAGCGTTTCTGGCGCTCACAGTAAGCGCGCCACGTTTCCTCGTTGAAGCCATAGTTAAAGTAATCGGTTATGTCAGCACCGGGCTTGCGCCAGGGCTTCTCCTCCAGCGAGTCTATACTGAACTCGTGCACGGCGACGCCGTTAATGGTGCCAGCGCCCTCGAAGTCCTCGATACTGAACTTGCCGGCCTGAGCCGTTGGCTTGGCTTTGTCAGCAGCTGTTGCGCCTGCCAGCAGATTGGGTCGTTGTTTAATGTTGTACGTGCTGGGTTGTGATTTAATGTCGCCAATCACCACATTAATATCATCATCAGAATCATCATCGTCGTCATCGTCGGACCCAGAGCCGTTGCGCTCTTTGCGTTGCATTGTACCGGGCGCGACTTCCATCAAATCTGTCATTTCAGCATCCTCCTGTGATCCAGCGTCGTCCAATCCACTGCCGCCAGGGTCTGCGCCGGACGCTATTCGTGCATTGCCGTCCGTTGTATCTGGCAACGCTTCCTCATCTTCCTCCATTTCCTGGGCGGGATCCTCAAACTCGGCATATTCGAGCAGCTCCTCCTTGGGAAAGGCAGGCAACGCGCCAGTTCCAGGCTTCTCACCGGTCACTGCTGCGAGTGCCTCGTGCTCCGCCGCCAATGCATCGCTGCCGTTTGATATTTCGTTGGTCGTTGAGTCTGGATTCGATGTGCCGTACAACCAGCTATCCTCATTGGTGTCATCTGCCATATTTGTGTTAACTTTTACGCGCGGCCACGAGTTTATTTTATAAAATGTTCTAAATGCCGAACGGCGAGCTCAAGTAAACACTGTTTAATAAACTAAAAAAACCTTTTTCGGTATCACGTCATTTTTATATTTTGGTCACACTGGCGCAGAGAAAATTAGCTGTGTTTCATTAACAGACGTTTTGCAGTGAAATGCATGGAAACGGAACACAGCAAAACAGCTGTTACAACCCCGCAAAGTTCAAATCGATGAATCTCAAATTATGTGCAATTGCCACTTGTAGCATACCTCCAGCATTAGTTTTATTAGCCGGTAAATTCTAAAATGTATTACAAAATATAAAGAAGTTAACTTTTGGGATTTAGCACGCATTGTTGGACATTGCAAATTCATAGCCAAAATTTACTCAATAATAATAACAACAACAACAAATATCATGCATTGTATCATTGTATATTTTTTGGATACTTAATATTGAAGCTCTTGTACTTAAATTGTCTTCAAAATATCCCTAACAACGTTGCGAAACATACAGGACAGGGCGCAATCGTAGCGCCGCAGACAGAGCTGGCGTAATCCGAGCAATAGTTGACCAAAGCGTAACCAGTGGGATCGATGGAGTGTGTAGCGAGCCAAGGAGCAAAGTGCACCATTGGAGTGCGTCTCTAAGATCAGGGCATAATCGGCGTTTAATGCCAGTTCTGCAAGGGTACAAGTAATAAAACAACGGATACTATGTATGAGACCCAGCGCAACCCACCTTTGCGGCATAAAATAAGCGTTTCTAGAAAATTGAGTTCCATAACATCGGCGCGCAGCTGTTGCGCCTCGGAGAGTAGCAGCTTGAGCTGCATATCTCCACAGCTTTCGATCATGGCACTTATGTCCAGGGACCAATGCGA